GAACGGATGGCAGGTCCTACCACTAGACGGTCGTTGGCTATCATTACTGGCTAATCGGCACTGGTGGATGCTACCACAGCCAGTACCGTGTACCCTGTGGATGGTACCTAGGTACTGTGCCGGTACACAGGTACGTGACAAGTACCGAACCTTTTTTCCCATCAAAAACTTATTCTAAGACTTTATATGTTGAATAAATGGTAAGCATGGGTCTTTACACCCAATGTTAGGCCACTACTTGAATGATGTTTTATATGATGAATATGCTTATTATCTCGGGAAGTTTGTAAAGTTTAAGAATGAAGAAGTAAAAGGATGAGTTAATCTACCTCGGGGGAACTCTAGGACTGTTCTAGTTTGAAAGTGAGTGCCAATAAGTAGAATCAGCCTTGCAAATCTGATATCTGATGGCTGCAGGTTAAAACGTACGTACGGGATCCAAAAATTGCCGTTTCGAAGGGGAAAGGGATACCACCCACCCAACGGAGAACTCCTTTGTTGGCAAAATCGTTTGGTATTGTAATGTCTTAACTAAAGTAGACTTGATTCATGGCCGTAAGTAGTGACTCTAAATCCTAAGATAAGGTTGTGAATAAGGACGTGTTTGCCTTAGCCACAATATAAGTTATGAGCAAATAATATGGATTAATTAGGTTAATGATTTGAGACTTATGAGTTCATTTGATGATTTTTATGTGATATTATTAATGTTGTACTTGTTTGCATGATATAGTATGAAAGTTTGAGCTAGTGAGTTCATCTATATTCTAGTTGAACGCTAGACATTTCTCACTTAGCAGCAATGTTGGGCGTGTGGCGTTTATGCTGGGTGTAGTTAAACGTTATATATTTCTCACTTAGCAGCAATAACAGGAGTGATGCTTAAGGAAAAAAATCTTCGAGGGTAGAAGGGATAAGGAGACAGTTGGATGCTAGCTAAGGAGTTTGTTTAATTAATATTATATTTGAATTTATTAAGTTTTCAGGTAAGAACCCAAAGTTGTGTTTTGAATTAAGTACTTAAGGCTCTGCATTGTTTTGTTCACTTCGATTGATGTTTTAAATATTATTTTGAATTAAATTTATTAACTTGTTTTGAAAATTAATTTGTTTGGATGTCAATCTAGTGACAACCCGATCCATTGGTCCACGTATTCGAGCTTGCGTGTAGGGTGTTACATACAGTGTTGTTGAACCATCTCTTTGAATGGTCTGTTAAATGTCACGAATTGCTTCTAAGACCTTATATGTTGCATGATAGTATGTGGAACTGTGAAAGGTGTTTACACCCGACACTAGACTACTATTTGTATTATATGATGATTATCTAATTATTATTATCCTCTTGATGCATTTTAAATACAATCTGTATATGCCTTGAGCAATTATAGTGAACTAAGGTTGTTGTTAGCATATACCTGATTATGTAAAGTAATTTGATGACATATGTTACTTAGAAGAACTCTAGGATTACCTTGTTAAGATAGAGATTGTAAGTTGTCAATAGGTTGTAGGGCCTTGTGGACTTAGTGTTGAGTGGCATTCGAGTAAATATGTACATACATGTAATCTGGGATTTGATCTGTAGGATTGGTGGTTCCACCCAGCCGACGCCGTAGGTACCATGTTGATCAGAACCATGGTCGTAGCCTAGAATAGTATATGAGTATATAATATAGGAAGATGTAATGTGTGATTTTTTGATATCTTTGATGTTGTTATGTGATATTATCTGTTGCATGGAATGCAATAAGTGATTATGTATGTTGAAATAATCCTATATGTGACTTCAACTATTAGAACCTCTCAGTTTGCGTGAAAGATGAGCGTATAGTTTATTTTAGTTGCTACACGTAGGTAAGAGTTATGATGAATAGGGAAATAATTTTGGAGAGCAGCAGGGATGAGATGGAGTGGATGCAGGCAGATGAATAGATTTCATTAATATTTCTGTTTGAATTTATTAGATTTTCAGGAAAGAACCCAAAGTTGTGTTTTGAATTAACTACTTACGCTTTCGCACCGTTTTATATTACTTTGATGGATTTTTAAATATTGTTTTGAATTAAATGTTTTTTTTAAAAATTATTGTGTTTTTTTAAGGCGAAAATTATTGTGTTTGGATTCCAATATAGTGACAACTTGGTCTGCTACTCCATGTATTCAGGTTACACGCTTTGGGTTGTTACAGTACCTCCTGGTTGCAATTTTTTGACAAATAAATAGAGTTATAAGTTGTCTTGTCTGGCATTTTTGTGTTTTAAATAGAGCTAAAGCATTTTGACAACATCATCCTGCTGCAGATTGTGCTATGTCACCTTAAGCATGCGTGGTTCAAAAACATTGTTTCACTATTCTTGATGGAGAAGAATCGAATGGGTAAAGGAATCCTTATTAAACTCTTATAGGGCTTGCCTTACCCTATATATATTCGACGCCTTTTTACGTACCAGGTTGGTGAGAAAGTTCAAGTAAGCCTATTATACACGAGAGATGCGAGAGGCTGTTTTAGAGATGTCCTGGTAGACCTGAAGATCGCACCATCATCATAATATCTTGCATGAAGTTTTGTTAAATCTCGGTTTGATCTGTCACAAACCTTAGAGATGTTGTGAGAACTTGGAAGAGTGTGTTCATTGAAGTTGTTCCAGAAGTTAATCTTGTCGTTCTGGAGATTGGGTTGCTAACATGTTCTTACCACGAAAACCCAAAGGTGTAACCAGTCAAGGAGTTTGAAGCAAATAAACAAGAGTCTGTCAACATAAGTCATTCGTAAGTTGATTAATTTAATACATAGGTTGAGTTTATTGTGATTGATAATTGTTACGATGATATAGTGGAAGAGCTGTTACACGGACGTATGTTCCTTAAAGTAGAAAAGTTGATCTGAACTGTGCAAACAATTCTTGTGCACCGTTTACTGCTTTTACTTTATATTCCGCGTGTGTGCGTGTGACGAAGAAGGTGTTACAACAAATTTTCCAGCAGCTTATCTGATTGACTTCTTTGCATAGGTTTTATTTCGTAATTTTTATTGCACCCCACAAAATTTCAATAAATATACATACATCAATTTAATACTCGAAGAAATAGTTGTGTTAATTTAATATTATTTATTTTTTTATATGTACATATGTTGGATGTATATTAAAACTACATCTGTTTCATAAAAAATCTTTATTTGAATTTTATAAAGTAAAAAATTTAAAAAGAAATGTTTTAATATTCTTGAGACATACAAAAAATAAAATATTGAAAGTATTTAGGAGAAAGACTTGGTGCCTTTTATCATTCCACTTTTTTCTTTTTCCTCATTATTTTAGAATAGTAAGTGTTTCATACACAATTTTTTTTAGAATAGTAAATTTTTCATAATAACTCAAGCCCTTGTAAACACTGACCCCTAATTAAATATAGTCAAAAAAATTTGCATCAATTTTTATGCCATTTTTCTCTTTCCTTCCGTATTTTAAAATAGTTATTTTTCTGTAATTTAAAAAAAGGAAACTTTTGGAAATGAATACAACATAAATCCTTGTAAGCAGTGACCCTTGACCAGAGTCTTCTCATTTATCTTCTCAGATCCAGCCTTCGTGGATCCTTTGCTAAACAAGTTTAATCTAAGTTGTTTTGAATTATTACACACAACTCTATTATTTTGATATTAGAATTCATAGAAGTGGTTAATTCTAAATTTTTGGATAACTAGATAAAACAATATAAAATCATGTTACATTAGTAAATTCTAATGCAAAATTAATATTGTTAGTCCGGGGTCATTTTTGTAATTATTTTCATATATAAAATGTGATCGATTTAAGATTATGTTTGTTTGGTCGAGACATCGTTATAACTATATGATTGATATTGATTTTAAAAAGTAAAGAAAGAGTGAGTTATGAAAAAATTACAAATATGTTTTGGGATATAGCATAAAAGGAAATAAAAAGAGATTGCAATTTTAAAAAGTAGAGTATATGTAACACCCCAGCCCCCACCCTAGCCGTAAGTGTCCGCTCATAGGATTGTAGACTGGCCCCCACAAACCAACACAAGTCTTTCCCGCACATTTTGTGCTCACTCGTGCGCGCCCAAGGAATTTCCCTGAGGGTCACCCATCCTAAAATTGCTCCAGGTCAAGCACGCTTAACTTTGGAGTTTCTAGGTGATGAGCTCTCGAAAAGAAGATGCACCTTGTTGGTATGAGTAGTACTATCAATCTTTTTGAGCTTTTCCCATTCCCATCTTGATACGGGGTATTACAGTATACATTTTTAAAATTAAATAAATATTTTAAGATTTTATATTTTTTTCAACTCTTTCAACATAAATTCAACTTTTTCCATTTTCCTCCAATTCTTTTCAGTTTCTTTCAACTTTTTGTTTTTCAATTTCTTCAAATTTCTTCTAACTCTTTCTCGTTTCTTCTAATTCTTTTAGATAGTGTTTGCGAACTAGAATTCATTTGAAATTTTAGATTTTAATTCCAACATTTGAAACTCTATAATTTCAAATTCACAATGCTGTTTGGAAAGTAATAGAATTTCAATTCCAGAATTTAAATTTTGAAGTCGGCAAAGACAGTAACGGAAGCAGATTTATATGTACGAAATTGATATTATATAAGAGAAGATTACTTTTTAATTACAAGTTTTAAATTAAATAAAAAATTAAGTTTAAATTTGTAAATGACATGGGGAGGGGTGTGGATTTGTAGTTGAGTTACTTCTGAATTAGAAGAATTTGGTTCAAATCCAAATCCAAATTCTTTGAGTTACCAAACAAGCAATTTGGATCAAATCCGGAATTGAAATCTAAATTCAAGTTTCCAAACACACCATTAGTTTATTTCAACTCTTTCCATTTTTTTTGCAACTCTTTCTAGTTTCTTCCAATCTTTTCTAGTTTTTCTAACATTCAACGTACTCAGCCTTTCCAACAAAAAGATTAGAGTCTTATTATATTAAAGTGACACAATATTTTCATTTATTTATTTATCACACAACATAATTAATTTATGCCATCTATGATTACAAGACATACAAAACATAAACGAACACATACCGAATAGAACCTTAAACCCCAAAAGTTTATTATTGAACCAAATCACAAGTTTACAACTGGACACTCGATTCCGCGCAACGGGCGTGTCATGACTAGTGTATATGTATATAACATGAAGTTGTAGCATTACTATATTTATTCATGGATCATTCCTTGTGCCCGCACATCATTTTTTGACATCAAATAAAATTCTTGACAACATCAATTGTCACGTGAAATTTTTTCGAGATGTCAAAAAATGGGGTGCATAAGTGTTTCCCTTTATTTATTTATTTCCATATATATGAAGCAAATTAAATAAAGTCGGCATACATACATAATTAGCAGGGCTTTTTGCAGAAGCACTTGGAGTTCTTGAAGAAGCCGGACCCAGTGGGTTTGCATTCGCCGTTCGAAAAGTGCTCATATTGAACGCATTGCTTGTGGCAGTCACTGTCACGCCCACAATACCCCTTGAAACCCGCGCTCAGCTTGTCGCACAGAGCCGCATCGCTGCTTCCCATTTCTGCATAAAAACGCTTTTAAATACTCCCTCCGTCCCGAAAAACATGCGAGTTTTGGTTTTGGAGGGGGATTTGAGGGGAGTGTATTTTTGGTATTGAATTTCCAAAAATGTCCTTTGATGTGATGGGTAAAAGATATAATATTAGTAAAAAGATATGATGTGATAGGTAAGGTATGAAAAAGTAAAGGGTAAAAGTGACTTTTTAATAGAAATGAGAAGTGTTTTTTGGGACGGATGAAAAAAGAAAGGAGAAAGGTTTTATGGGACGGAGGGAGTACAATTTTACAATAATAAAATAAATTATTGATGGCTTTGATTTGTACTCCGATGATGGATATAGAACCTATTCTCTTTAATTTATTTTTTTTATTTATCACTTATTCTTATTTATTAGATTCAGATCAAATTTGAAACAATTTTTAAATATAACTACAATCTGATCAAAAATAATTAATCGAATCAGATCAAAACCAATCAGATTAGTTGAAGAGAATAAACCCTACTCGTATATATATACTCCCTCCGTCCCAAAAAGATCGTTACGTTTCATTTCTTTGCCCATCCCTTAAAATATTTTTATATCGTCTCAAATGCCAAAAAAACTTTCAAAACAATTTCATCTTATAATAAAGAGTAAATATGGTAAATTTTAGAAATTTTAGATGTGAGTAGCATTGCTTTTTGTGATGCGCAAAGAAATGAAACGTAGCGATCTTTTTGGGACGGATGGAGTATTAGTCTTTAAATTTAAAAACAATCAGTCCTTATTACAATCACTACTGTACCAAATTAAAAAAAATCAATGAGTTATAGTCTAACATATCATACATGGTATGGTGTTTAAAGATTAAAAAAACACGTGTAACAATTAAATTAAGGATGAAGCTAATAACTAAGGCGTGCTAACCAGTAGCAACGAGGAACAACACAAAGAGCATGGGAACTGCAACTGAACGAACTGAAGGAGCCATTATATTTTCTATTCTTTGGAGCTAATTGAAGAAGAGAATTGTTGTTTTTGTGCGAAGATGTTTTGAGGAATAATATAATTTGTAGTGGCTACGGTAAGGATAATTTATAGTGCTTTGTACTTTGTACTCCCTCCCTCACTCAACAAATACTTTGCTCCCTGTCAAAGTATATTTGTCCAGTTTTGACTTTTACAATTAACCAAGATTAAAAAATATTTCGAAAGAATTTTACTCCGTACTAGAAAAATCTATCCTGGAGTAATAAAATTATTCTTGTATTATTATCAAATATAAATCTTATTTTAATAATGATCAAAATTTATCAATTTTGACACCTAAAAGTCAAAACATGATATATATATATATACTCTGAGACGGAGATAATATAAAATAAAGTTCGTATAGTGTACATCCAAATATACGATATTTTTTGTACATGCAAGGCACACTTTTAAGCTATGCATAGAATACTAATTTTATACATTTATTATTTGGGAAGAAGATTAAAGTAGGAGTAAAATATTAAACATATATCTTACCAACATAGGAGTTCTATGCTTGCATTCTGTTCGTCTGACCTAATCTGATTTTTGAACATCTCATCTAGTCTGATTTGATCTAGTCCGATTTTTGGAGTCCACACTGCTATTGGTACACTACCACACTCACCACATTATGACATTGTAAGTGTCACATTTTAAACATCACACTTCCATTCGTCACCGTCTACCACCGATTGCCGTTGCAGATTACCCACGGTTGACTGATGATCACACTAACATATTACACTATCATCGCTTTTCCATCACACTGTCAATGCGTATTCTTACATCACACTGCCATTATACTCCTATTTTCGTCTTTAAAGACATAGTACTCCTATTTTGGTATTTCATAATGTGTTTCTAAATGGATTCAAATCTAATACTCTCTATACTTATCATTTCTCAATATTTTTCTAAAAAACAAAAATTTTCATAAAGTTGAATTGTAAATTTAATTTGGAAAGAAGTGAGTATGTTTTGTGGGTTAGTGTTTCATTTTGAAGTATAACCCATATCATAAATCATAATCAGAAAAATAAAATAATGAAATAATGTTAGAGTCACAAATAAACTCTAAAAATTCACAAAATGTTGTGCATATATTTTAAATTCTCATTTTTGTTGACTTCTTGTTTTTATTGTTCTTCAATTTGTTTCGATTATATATATATTAATCTTTTTTGTTAAATTATTGCAAAGAATGTATTGTTAAAATACAAATACGAATTCACATAATTCAGAAACTATCATTGCCCTTTAATTCCTTTTCTACACTAATACTTTATCATATGATACTGACACTCCCTCTCTTCTATAATTTTTTTTCTTTATTTTTTTACGGCCATCAAAACACTATTTTAACTATTGATATCTTCATTTTATATAAATAAATTGTTGAAATATTAGAATAATAATATTGCTCCTTAAATTATGAAGTACATCATAGAGTATATATAGAAGAAACTACTAACACAACTAGAAATAGAGAATGGAGACTAACTAAAATACAAAATCTAACACAAATAGGAATAAGAAGCTGACTACTAATCAAACAATACCATAACCAATACTACCAGAAGTAATATTTGTAATATTGTCTAACATCCCCCCTCAAGCTAAACTCTGGCTGAAGCAAGAGGAAGCTTGGACAGTAGCTGAAAACTGGAAACTTTGAGAAGAGATAAATCTGACGTGCGCTGGTAGCTGCTGATGTCTTTGGAGAAGAGAGAAAGGGTTGACGTGCGCTTGTAGCTGCTCACGACGAAGAAGAACAGAGAAGGCTATTGGAGGTGTCTGTTTGAATGAAGATCCTTGACATTCTTTTTCTTTTTCTTGGATCCGGGCAATGCCCTATTTCCTTCTTGAAGGGGTGAGTTGTAGAGGTATTCTTTCCTCTTTCACTACTTCCCCCTTGGCTTTGCTTTTGTGCCGATTTACTTTGGATTTTTATTCGTTCAACAGAAGAGAAAGAGAAGGGAAGTTGATGATTAGAATGAGTGATTTTAGAGAGAAAAAGGTAGATTAAGAATTGGTGATGAAAAAAGATTTGGGCCTGGGATTTTGATATGTTGAATTGAGAGAAACAACAATCGTTTTTTAGAAGATAGGAGGAGTTGGGAAAGTTTGTGAGGAGTTGGGGTTTTTTTAAAAAACCATGGAGATAACACGAGAGAAGTTCATCCTTTGATGGTTTTTGTGTGTGAATCAACAGGGGTTTTTTTTCATTTGAATGGAGAAGTTATTTCGATGATAAAAGAAGGAAAAGAAAATAAAGGTGAATAGGGTGGAGCCGCCGTCGCCGGAATTACCGGTGGCGGCGACGAAAGCAAAGAACTCTTTTAGGTCACCGAGAGCGGTGGCTCTGATACCATGTTGAAATATTGGAATAATAATATTGCTCCTTAAATTATGAAGTACATCATAGAGTATATATAGAAGAAACTACTAACACAACTAGAAATAGAGAATGGAGACTAACTAAAATACAACATCTAACACAAATAGGAATAAGAAGCTGACTACTAATCAAACAATACCATAACCAATACTACCAGAAGTAATATTAGTAATATTGTCTAACATAAATATTACAAAAATATAAAGTACGAAGTAATACCTGATTTAAATTGATTTTATACCATAACACGACAATTTTTTTCATAATTGTTTAAACTGCTAACCAAAAAAAGTTAAAAGAGACGTATGGAGTATTATTGTTTGTCTTTATGTCATCTTATCTTATGAGATTGAATTCAATAATGTGCGAGGGCGCTAACGGTTGGGAGTAATGGTGGCCTAAAAACATATACTCAGGCTCCGTTCTGTTCAACTTATTTTTTCTGATATGATCTGATTTTAATAAGTTCTGATCTGATCTGCTTGGATCTAATCTGATCTAATTGGATCTGATCTAGTCTGATCTGATCTGATTAATTATGATTTAATTTAAAATTTCAAATTAATAATTTGATTTGACATTATAATAACGTTTGAAAATTGTAATGATAGTTCATATTATAATATAATCAATATTTTTTATTTAATGATTATTTTTTAATAAAACAAAATTAGTTAATTCATATATTAGAATAATCATTCATATTATAATGTAATAATATTTTTTATTTTATGATTATTATTTTGTGAAATTAGAATATTAATTTAATATTTTAATAATTACTTCATATATACATTAGAATAAATATTTAATTTAGATATACATTAAAAAGTAATTAAATTTAGATAATCAATATATAGAAGAGATAGTGTTTTTATTAAAATATCTCATCCTTATAAAAGATCAAATCTTTAGAAACTCAAATTACAAGTAGCAATAAAAATATATTTTAAAAGTAGAATTAGATTGACATTGTCAATGTATTTTAAAACTAATTTTTCCGACGTCTAATAATTAAGGATTACTTTCTCATTCTTCTATTTAACCTATTTCTAAAGTTTATTCTTTTTCATTTTTAAGAACAACAACAACAACAATAATGATGATGATGATGATGATGATGATCATAATAATAATAATAATAATAATAATAATAATAATAATAATAATAATAATAATAATAATAATAATACTTGATGGGATCTGATTTTAATAAGTCCTGATCTGATCTGATTAGATCTAATCTGATCTGTTCTAATTGGATCTGATCTGATTGGATCTGATCGGATCTGATGTGATCTGATTGAATCTGATCAAATCTGATCTGGTCTGATCTGATTTGATTAATTATGATTTAATTTAAAATTTCAAATCAATAATTAGATTTGACATTATAATAACGTTTGAAAATTGTAATGATAATTCATATTATAATATAATCAATATTTTTTATTTAATGATTATTTTTTAATAAAACAAAATTAGTTAATTCATATATTAGAATAATCATTCATATTATAATGTAATAATATTTTTTATTTTATGATTATTTTTTTGTGAAATTAGAATATTAATTTAATATTTTAATAATTACTTCATATATACATTAGAATAAATATTTAATTTAGATATACATTAAAAAGTAATTAAATTTAGATAATCAATATATAGAAGAGATAGTATTTTTATTAAAATATCTCATCCTTATAAAATATCAAATCTTTAGAAACTCAAATTACAAGTAGCAATAAAAATATATTTTAAAAGTAGAATTAGATTGACATTGTCAATGTATTTTAAAACTAATTTTTCCGACGTCTAATAATTAAGGATTACTTTCTCATTCTTCTATTTAACCTATTTCTAGAGTTTATTCTTTTTCATTTTTAAGAACAATAATGATGATGATGATGATCATAATAATAATAATAATGGTGATGATGATGATGATACTTGATGGGATTTGATTTTAATAAGTTCTGATCTGATCTCATTGGATCTGATCTGATCTAATGTGATTCGATCTGATCTGATCTGATCTGGTCTAGTCTGATCTGATATGGTCTGATCTGATCTGATCCTAATAAGAATAAGAAAAAATAAGTTGAACGGAACGGAGCCTTAGTCAATTTACGACTTTACCACAATCCAAGTTATCCAACTAAACTACTCCGTATTGAATTTTCTAAAGTTTTACGTTTCTCCACTCTTTCTTTGAAAAAATAAATATGTAACATAATGATAGATTTTAAGATGATGTAAGAATAACTGGATTGGGTAATAAGAGACTTGAATTGAATCGCATTAAAACATTGAATCCAATCGATTAGTTAGTTGAACTAAAAAACTTATATACTAATTATTTTAGTCTTGAACATCTGATGTGGATGACACTCTAACGCATAATTGATTTTCCCTTTTTCAAATAAATTTTAACTATTAGTTTTTTGCTTTTCATATATTTTCAACACTTTTTTTAATATTCGGGAAATTAAATTGTCAGGTTTATTTGGGAAGAAAGACGGGTAGTAAATTCGTCCTTCATACTTCATAGATGCAAGCCACTTTGTTTGACAATTGACACGCATGTGTTTGATATGAATTGTGTAGCATAAGTGACTTTAATTAAT